CACAAAAAATAACAAAAAATAATTTTTTCATTCTAAGTATGTCCCAATTGTTGCATGGAATAAATATCACATTTAGTATAAGTATGTCCCATGCAGTATTTAACATAATTCTACAAAGAATTATTCATTATTTACCTGAAACTCAAATTAATGGGGAGTCCTGTATTTCATCTGGCCACCCTAACAGAGGGCATTTCTGGGCTGATTCTTTTAACGCTGAATATCTGGCAGGACATCTGACTCAGGTGTTTCTCTCCCTCTAGAAGTGAGTGAGCTGAGGATAAAGACTTGGGCTCATCCTCCAACGTGTGCCTGGTACCCAGCAGGGCCAGGCGCACAGGGGACGCTCAGTAAAAACGAACAGGACAGCTGACTCTGAAGGGCCTTCAATCCCCTAACCTTCCTGACAACAAGAAAGGTGTACCTCCTTCAAGGTTACTATTGTTCCTGACACAAAGCAGGAAAAGGGCACCCTGCCATTTTTTTTCTCTTGCCCAAATCAAGAGGGAAAACAAAAACCTATCTTTCATCCAGATGGAAATGCCAGTAAAGTAAGGAGTGCTCTCGTTTCTATTCAGGGGTTTCTATGCTTATTTGGAAATATCACCCTACTCATGTAACAAAACCCTACACGGCACCAGGTGCGAGGCAGTGCTGTAGACGTGACACAGATGCAGCAGCCCATGTGATCCTGATGTGGTGACATGGACTGTCAATCTCTCATTCAAAGTCCTTGGAGCAGAGGAGTTTTGGAATTCAGTGCACATACAATTTATTATGCGACTTCCATAACACACAGACCAAGCAAGGTCTAGGACGGTACTCCATAATCAAACACATTCAATTTCTGCAGCAAAACACATGAACAGTCAAATCAGGGAAAATACATGAAAAGAGCATCATGTCAATTCACGTCAGCTTCTGCTACCAAATGAATTCTGGTCAGGTTTAGCTGTTCAATGAGTTACAAATAAAATGTACATTTTGGGGGGTGCTTGGATTTTGGAAATGAATGTAAGGATTGTGAACCTTAATGCTCTTCTTCTCACTTTGCAGATGAGGAAACTGAGGCTCTGAGGGGTGAAGTCACCTGCCCGTGGTCCCTCTCAGCACTGGGGCTGGAATTCAGACTGAGCCTTCTGGACTCAGCTCATGATCTGAACCACAATCCAGTGCTGTCCTTAATGGGAAATACTAGCTTCCAAATATGAACTTATTTGGAACCAAAAATCACAGATTCTAAATGGTTGGCTGAAAAGATGTCTAATCTTATCAGCTGATTAAGGTACACAGTGCATGAACATTTATTACTTCAATAAATACTTGGCTGCCTTCTTTATGTTCATTTACAGTCAGCTTCAAATAGAGTAATTCACATAATGAAACACTGTAGTGATCTCCTCAGATTCTATACTTTGAAGAGCCAAGGCAGAACCTAGGTACCTGGGAACTTGTGTGTGTGTACACACTCAGGTACATGTATGTGCGTGCATACTCACCTACACGTGTGTGTGTTGGGGAGTAATGGGTGGTCTGCTGCATGGCCTAAGAGATAACATCCCTGAGGGAACCCCAAGACTACTGGGGTATCTGCCAGGTCAAAATCATTTTCACAATAATACTAAGACACGATTTGCTGTTTTCTCTCTCAGTCTCAGAGACTGAGAGGTGGTTTTCCAGGGGCCACGCCATGTGTGATACCACAACAAACAGCGTGTCTTTTATCATTGCAGACATTCAAGACATTTTCAGAAATGTAAAACAATGTCATTCTTCTCACTAATTTATTTTGAAAAATACACCTATTTTTCATAAAAATGTTATTTCTGTTAATATATAATGAGTTTATTTTAGAATAAATTACTAAATAAATATTGTTAATATTTATGTTTTAATTTCTGATAAAATAAATATTGGTAGACACACAAAAGCTCTTTGGGTCCACAGCATTTTTTAATGTGAAGTGGTTATGAGGCCAAGAACTTGGAGACCAGCTTCCCTAGGCTGACCAGAGGAAGTGAGGGATAGATGGATGGTCAACAGCCTTCCCAGCTGTAGTGTTTCACCACATTTCTCCCAAGGCCACCTGACACTAATTTTAACTCGCTTTCACCTGTATATAGATATCATCAAGCAAGACCCCACATGCAGTCTCCCTGGGCCCTGGAGCACCACGGCTGGGGAAAGATAGAGTGCTACCCACTCCCCACAGAAACCTCACTGGGGAGCACTTCAAATCCAGTCACTGATCTCCTCCTGCAAAAAACTGGACCCTGTATGGGGCTGAGGAAGCATAAAATCATCAGGGGAAACTTAGAGTCACCCTCCTGGGCTCCTCTCCAGACTCCCTGAATTAGAATTTCTGGGGCGAATGTGCTGGAAATCTGTATTTTTAAAGGGCTCCCCCTGGTGGTCTGATGCTTGGCTCGATTTACTAATTATCCCTGTAGTGGGAATTGGAACTTTTAATTTACCAAAACAGGTCAATATATAGGTCAACTGAGGTTTACTAGAAGTTCTAAAAACCACAATCGGTGTATGTTCAACTTTCCCTGTTTAAATGTGACAAACGAAGAGGGCAAGACTTTTCCAGGCTCTATCCATACTGGAGATGATCCTGGTTTCTCTCACCTCTCTGCCTTTGCAGATGTTAATCTCTCCTCCTGGAAGACCCATCCACCTCCTTTCTCCCTACCCTAGACCCTCCTAAAAATTTACTCATCCTTCGAAGATCACTTCAAGTTATCACCTACTCCACCAGGTGTTTGAAGACACACATTCATTCAAGAACGTTTAATTTTTCCGCTCAGTCATTACTATGGGAAAAATGCATGACTAACTAGTAATTTCTATTTAAATAAACATCACTGAGTCTTTTTGTCTCAGAAAAGCTGACTTCTTGGGACGGTCCTTCCAGCAGCAGAATGATTCGGTCAGTCATGGACCTGCCTCACTGCTGGTCAGGTGACTTGCCTTCCAAACTGTGTTTTCCTTTTGGATAATGTGTAGGGTTTTTTCCTTCATTCTGTGACTTTCAACAAATCAGCCATTCAACAATAGTGATCCAGATCCAGGCAACTTTTCTGGGTTCCAGGGACACCAAAGTGAGTAAAATACTGTCTCTGCCTCCTGACAGCTACAAGCTTCTTGTTCTAGCAGGAACCTGGGGCCACATTCTCAGTGAGCAAAAGAACAAGGCAGCGAAAGGACATTATTTCAAGCCTGCACTATCAACTGACAGAGTCCACAGCCACTTTCGGGTCCTCTCATGAACGGACACAACCCCTCATCACTACCAGCTTCAGCAAAATGCACTGCGGCACCGCATGGGCCCCTCCACTGAGCATGCACAGAAATGCCCACGCTCACGCACCTTCGCTCACAGGGCAGCACACTCGGAGAGGACCAGCAGCTGATGGATTTCACAGTACCTAATACTCATTTATTTGCAAGTTAACTAGTAACTTGCACGCAGTCATTTTTTTTTTTTTTTTGATCTGCACACTGTCATTTTTTTTGTGAAAAAAAAAATCAAATGTATCTGTCCTGTTACCAGAAATCTCCCAAGAACATCTTCCCCATCTTCCTTCTATAAGTATTACTTCTCCTTTCCTTTTAAAGAGCAAAAAAAGAATTCCAAATTCATGCAAAGGAAGGCAACATGGCTTAATAAACCTCTGATTTGAAAAGAAGAATAATATTATCTGGCTACTTCTAAATTCTAGAGGCATTCTGAAAAATTTCTCAATTTCTCTGAATGGAACACAAGAATTTTTTGAGGAAGACTATGTGACAATTTCAGATGTGATCTTTGACTAAAAGTTAATGCAATTGTTTAACTATTGCTGCCACTATGCATATTTTTATATTCAGTATAATCTGATACTGACCCAAGGATCAATCACTATAAAAGGCCAACGTTTTAAAGCTTTCTATGAGCATGCTTTCCAGGTCACACGACTAGGACAGTCTGACCTTAAGATGAAAAGAAATGACACAGCAGGATGGAGTAAACGTTATTTTCTTAAAAGCTGGAAGCAGTTTTAAAGAAAAGATCACAGCCTGTTAACATATTTAGTTAATTTAATCATAACTCATAAGCTTTAAAAGTATTTTTCAAGTCAAGAACTATAATTTAAACCAAATAGAATTTTCTGGCGAGGTCACCCAGTATTTCTTTCCAGATGTTCTCCCTTCACAGAACAGGAACGTAAGTGAGCAAATGATGACACCGGCATTGATAATAAGCTGACACCAGATTTAATTTGTAAGCACGGCTTTTCTTACACTTTCTTGCTCTCTTCACAGAAAAGCTCTGTTTTCTGATAACACTTTCTGAAAGAGCCCCAATCTCTGTTCTAAGTTAGTGCTGACTCCTAGGTGCACTTTTCATAGCAATGACCAACCTGCCCAGGTGGGTGTTGACGATCGTCGTCCCACATGTCCCAGCTGCTGCTGTCAACAAGGAGACAGACCGACCATAGATCAGTCAAAGAGCAGGGAGTCAAATCCTATGACTCTCAAGGTCCACTGCGACCGACCTCCTCCATCAAGGCTTCCCAAACTCCTCACTGTCTCCTTGACCTGTTACAGGTGGAATTATGTTCCCCCACAAAGACACGATGGCGTCCTAACCCTCTGTACCTCAGAATGCAATCTCATTTGGCGACAGGGTCTTTACAGAGGCAATCCAGTTCAAGTGAGGCCCTTAGGGTGGGACCTGATCCAACAGGACTGGTGTCCTTACAGAAAGGGGAAATTTGGACAAGCACACACGTGGTGAGCACGCCAAGAGAGACTGGGGTGATGTTCCTACAAGCCAAGGAACACCAAAGACGGGCAGTAACCACCAGAAGCCGGGAGAGGGTGAGGGAGTGGCGTGGGGCATGGGGCACACTCCGCTCTCATGGCCTCAGAAGGAAGCACCTCTGATGACACCCAGATCTTGGACCTGTCCTCCAGAACTGTGAGACTACACCTTTGTTAGCAGCCCCAGCACACTAACGCGGCCTCTCCGGCTCCTCTCTTCCCTCCGCGGGCAGCGCGGCCCTGCACCGGCTCCTGTGACTCCACACGGCGCGGTGGCGGGGCAGTCCTCTCCGGGGGACTCCGCGACCCCGCAGAGCGCCGTGTCTCCAGCGCACGGCCTGCCGGAGCTCTGGCTTCACCAGGCGAAGCGCGCGCCACCGGAGAGCGCCAGGGCGGCGGCTGTGTGGAGGACCACCCTCCCGCCCCCCGAGACCACAGGAGTCAGAACAGAGCGAGTCAGAGCAGCTTCTCCTCTGCAGCCGGCCTACCCTGCGCCCTAGCCGGGCAAAAAGCAAGGATGGACGGACACTGGCCAGTAAGGAGAACTGGACCTGCCGGAGACGTTGATGATAAATATACATAAAGACGTTTATAAGGCATATAACAAATCTTAGTGGAACTAATCAGAAAAGGAACACTACTGAAAGATAAAAATAGCAAATTTTTCTTAACACTGCTGAGGCTTTGCGCTACCGCTGTCCTGAGAGACACAATGTGAGGCACCTTTTTCCTTATACTTCTACTTTCTTTTACTGTGAGAAGACCAACAAATGAGGAATACAACATATATCAAAACATCCCTAGAAGCCCTGATTTGAAACCGGAAACAACCTAAATGCTCAACAGGAGGTGATGGTCAAGCAGACGCCAGCAGAGCGATACGGCGGGCTGATGCACCGCTGCTTAAAATCGCTGCTTAAAATCACAAACCCTGGTGGCAATATCGATGAACCTGAGAGTGTTGTCAACAACTGTGCTAGAAAAACGTAATATGATGTGAAAATCCAAGACGATTGACCATCCCCACAACTTCCAATGCTGGAATTATCTGAAATCTACCCAAGTGACATTTTAAATTTCCTAGCCCATCCTAAGCCTTAAGACATATACACTATTTGTGCCTTTGTACAAATAATCGCTGCCTAGATTATATATAGTGTTCCGAACATCAAAATAAGATGCTGTGCTTCTCAAGGTAGCTATTAAAAAGACTTCAACTTAAAAGAAAAAAAAAAGCCATAAAAAGCCTACTGTGGATTTTACTCTCCATTAAGATTGCTGTAATGCAGATTTCTGTTTCTCTGGAATTACTTTCCTATGAACACAACAGGGAAAAATCCTGTGCCATGTTCTGACTGACCTGCTTAATCCTTGGGGTGGAAGTATTTTAAGCCAGGGAATGAAATACAACCAACTGCATTAAAAACTTGCAGTACTGTCTTAGAAGTCAAAATTGAATAAATTTGATATATATTCTTTACACAGTTAATTTATTAAGTATTTATGAAAATATTAGATGAGTAGAAAGATATTAAGTTCCTTTGTATTAGAAATGCTTTAATTCTGGTGGCACATGGGATAGAGTCTCCTCTCAATGTTGTATCAGCTGATCCTCTGCCTCAAATTATAATGAAGTTTCAAGACAGTTTCCACCCCTGCCCTATAAATTTAACTCTGTGACAGAATCAAATGTTTATTTTTTTACCCTACCCAAAATAACTGTTACATTTCAGGCAGTTGATATTAATATCCAGCTATGTTTATGTAGCATCATTCTCTAAGAATAAAACTGATTTTATACCCTTAACATTTTATATATTTACTACATATTACATTATAAACCAACTAAAATAATGTTTAACAATCAGTGAAGGCCAAAGAGAAAAACTAATGAAGATACTGTTAATGTCTGCTTAACTGCAGATGTAATCCAATTCAAGTTTTTTTGTTGAAATTATTAACTATTTTATAAGGACATGTGCCCACAAATTAAAGTCAACATTTCTGAAATGTAAAACTCACACAGTCTTAGGATGGCAGTTATACACCTGTTGTGATTAAATATATAGATTTTAAATACATAGAAAAAATGCAAAGATTAATATAAATAAATTGAAATATATAGGGTCAGTGTATGTATAGATTTTCTTATTATTTATGAGCCACATATATACATATTTCATATATATTTATTTACATATATGAATCAAAGGTTAATAAACACCTAAAAACATACAATACCATACTATTGTAAAAGTAACTGAAGCAGTCCTGCATTTAATGTTTGCTCTTTTGTTCAAGTAGGATCATGTAACCATTTCCTTGATAGCAATGGCTAGCCAAAGAAATTACAATTCTCAAATTAATGGCTTCCTTATAATTGTTAGTCAAGTGCTCATTTACGAATATGCATAAAATCTCTGAAAAGTACAGTACAGTTATTTCTCCCAGTTCTTTACATAATCCTCTGCTGCTAACATGAGCTTTACAGCATAAGAAGGCTTTGTTTTAAACTAGAAAGGAAAAAAGGCTCAGGATTTGCCAGATCAACATCAAATATTCCAAACACTAACCGTGACAATCTGTTGGTACGTTATCATTTATTTCTTGGCTTTCTGTCAGAATACCACCATCTCGTTTCTTGTATATAGAAACAAAAGAGCAGGGCCACTGTAAGCTTTTTACTGCCTCACATCATAATATACCTAGTGGAAAGTGAACCTTTAAGATGCCAAATTTAACCTAATTGACGCCATATGCAACCACAGAATACTGGGCCAAGTTACAGAAAGAAGTAAACTCTTTCCGGTAGTCACAAGTTTCATAATCAAAGAGTCACATGTTCCGCTTCCCACTTAAAACATAACTGGGGGAGAAACAGGAAAATGAGGAAGAAAGGAAAGCTCGTCCTTAAAATAGAATACCAACTGCTAAATGCAGAAAACATAGGGTCAGCAAATCATCATTTTTCCACTACCACGGTAAAAATGGATTTAGGCAAGAATAACCTAATAGATGCTAACACTAGTGGGTAAAGGTTTGATGAGTAAAGGGGCAGTTAGATTGTATCAAACTATCCCCATGAATTACTTATTAATTACAAAAAGAAAATCAATAACTGTACAGTGGAGAAACCTATCCTATCACTTAAGGATCCTGAAGTAATATCACCAACACTGGATATCCTAATGTGACACACTGAGAAAGACACAGCACCTCCGTGATACTCCTGCCAAAAACGCACAAGCTGAATCTAATCACGAGGGAACGTCAGACAAACCGAGTAACATTCCACAAAATCCTCTACACCTCAAAGATGTCAACATCGTAAAGACAAAACAAACAAAGAAAAGGCACAGAATTGTCCCAGATGCGTAAAAACACAGGAAAGCTGAATGCGAAGTATGATCCTAGACTGGGGAAGAAAACCTGCAGAAAGGGACAGTATTGGTGCGACTAGCACAATTTGCAAAAGATGTACAGATTGTAGCACTGTATTAATGTGCAACTTCCTGATTTTAATAAGTGTGCCAAGTTTTTGTAAGAGAATACCCTTGTTCTTGAAAAAATACAAGTATGTGGAGTAAAGGGCGATGACTCTGCAACTTACTCATATGTGCAGGTCAGGAAAACAGTGGATGTGTGTGTGTGTGTGTGTGTGTGTGTGTGTGTGTGGAGAGAGAATAATAAAGCAAATGTGGCAAAATGTTAACTGGTGAATCTGGATAAAAGGTTTAGGGCAATTCTTTGCATTATTCTTGCAACTCTTCCCTTACTTTGCAATTATTTCAAAACACGAAGTTGTGTCTTGTTCTTAGGTGAGACGTGTGGGTCAGCTAGCAGTACCCCCTCCCAAGGTGTCCCTTCCACATGTGTCAGTCAGCCAGTCCCTGCTAAGACTCCTCTGTTGATCAAGACAGCAGGCAGTCTGTGAATATTTACATATTTTCTTCACTTGAAAAAGGATTTTTTAAGGTGGATTGCAATAAATGTCACAGATGCATTAAAAACAAAAACAAAACCAGAGCTAAACAAACCAGAACCATGATCAAGAAGAATTTCCTTACACATGGAGATCAAACTGGCCAAGGCAGAGGCTTGTGAAGTGTACTGGAGATGTCCTGCTCAGTTGACTATGTCCCATTAGCAGTCGTATTTGGGACTCTGCCACCGAACTCTACTCTGACCCCTCCTACTGTACTACAGCCCACGTTGTCCCCTCTTACTACAAGTTGTGAAACCATCCCTCTTTCAAATCCTGTCCTGAAGAGTCTACACCAGAGCTTCCCCAAGTGCGAGACACGTGCGGTGGCCAGCTCGTCTCGGGTAGTACTCACTGAGCAACCTTCAGGGCAAGCATTTATTTTTACAGATATTTCCAATGTGCAGCAAGTGATGTGACCACTGATGGTAGTGACAAAATGCTCCTTTTTAGAATACGTTTATTTAAGTAAACAGAAAGAGAGGCAATTTAAAGAAAAATAGTAAGTAAATAATAAAGCAGAAATATGGCCGCTGCAAAAGGAAAGGCTGTTGTCCATCACCGAGTCTTAGAAAACGCTGATGGACGCTACACATACAAGGGTTCAAAGCCAGAGAGGTGGACTGTACAACTATGAATTGTGTGAAAATTTTCGCAGCAAATGCTAACTGGCTGAAATCCGTGTTTCTTTTACATCAGTAAAGATAACATGTTAGAAAGCACTCTCACGGTTTTCTGAGATTATAGTAAAAATTCAAAGTAAAGTTAGATAATCTTATAAACATATCTTTATAGTAAACTATGATTTTAACATTGTTTAGAAAAAACTTGGTGTCTGAATATAAATATTTTAAGTCCACAGAAAAGTCTGAAAAAATGTGAAGAGGAAAAATGGTATAACCTACTGAACGCCAAATATTTATTTATACATTTCTATAAATAAATATACAGACTACAACAACACAATCCTACTCTGATAAGGTTCTGGGGAAAAACTGCTAGGGTATCTTTAGGCTATTTCAATTTTTAACAATCTTATGAGACATGGAAGATGCCACCTGCCTTTTAAAGAGAAATGCCCACGTTTGATTCCCAAACCCCAGGCCTTACCAAAGGCTGCTGGGGCTGCATCGCCTGGAGACTGAGGGTCTGACTCTGCTGGGGCTGGGGCGGCTGCTGGGGCTGCTGCATCTAGAAAGAAAGAAAGGATCATACACTTAAGCGCAGGGGCTAATATCATGCCCACCTTCTCCCCCGTATACCTTTGATTTAATTATTTTGTGGCAACAGAATAATATACATCTGCCTCCTCCATCTTTGCCTTGCCAAACACTGTGCATCTTTCAAGGGTAAGACCAAATTCTGCTCCTCCAGGAAGCCTTCTTGGACCCCTCCAACCCCGAGGATCTCTTCCACGGGTAGTCACAGCGTTCACTGTTGACACTGACCCACATCCTTTGTACTTAGTGTTTTAACTCCTTCCACGTCATTTTTCTCCCACATGTTTTATGCTACCTTATACTACCAGGTTACACAAAGGCTGCTCGGTAGTTATCTTCTCTTCCCTATGACATCTGCAGGGACTCTTGAAGGGTAGATTTTTTTTTTTTTTTAAAGAAAGATGAAGATGAAGAGGAAGAGGAGAGGGAGGAGGAGCTGTTCTTGAACAACTCCTGAGATTAGACTTTTTTTAAAGGAAGACGTAGATGTGGGAAGTTCTGGTATAAATTACCAGCATAAAATCATAAATTTTGTCTGTGACAGAGTTGGCTCGAATACATAGCTCTTGGAAAATACTTCCAAATCACAGAAGAAACAGACTAGACATCCACCAGGGGGAACAGAGAGGAAAATATTATTAGGTAGTTTGTCTCAAAGACCTTTAAAGTTTCCTCCACTCATACCCTTCATCTTGATGATGACGGCGCCAGACTACTTTTCATTCTTTGCATTTTCCAACCTGGTTTGCACACTATCCCCTATTTGTCTTCTTTAGGGCAAGGTAATAAATAGCTCTTGCCAGATGGCATTTCTCACTAAGTGACAATGCTCATGGATATGGAATCCTAGCAGAGGGCTGGGCAGGGTCACTCCCAACGTGAATAATGCAAGTTAGACCAGAAGCACGGTGCTTGCAGTATGAACCCAATTCTCCATTTGGCTCTGTGAACTCTTTTAGGGAAAATCAACCCACTTTCATAATTATTAGTTTGTTCCTTTAAGGACATAGTCAATCACAAAAAAAGGAGTAAGTGTAATCCTCATGCAGAAGTAAATCACTTTTCTTTATCTCTAGGGAACGTGTTGCTAATGAAAAAATTAACAGGAGGACATATTATGTTAATCGGGACAAAAAGTACATATTAACCAATAAGGAAGGCTTTCCAAATTTGCAGCCTTAAAAAACACCAGTGTAAGACAGGAAGCGGTAAATAAATAATGTAATAACTTCCCTCAATGATTTGGAAATGACAAATATTAAAACAGAGGGAACTATAAATATCAATCCTAAAAAGTTTTGAAATATCCTCAGAACTTGGAAGAAAATCATTTTAAGAATATCACTATGATTATTAATAGTCATCTTAATGGTAATAGTAACAGCATTACTGCCCAACGAGGGCTTTACTTGCATTTTCACATTTAATTCTCACTACATATTGAAGAGGTAAGTACTCTAATTATTTCCATCTTACTTACGAGGATACGGGGATTTCACCACGTTGGAGATAACCTCTCTACAATGAGTGCAACTGGACGTGGGTAGGCCACACTCCCCCAAACCAGTTACCATATGTTATCAACTTGGTGATACAACTTTCCACACTTTAACAGGTGAAAACTGGGATGCAGCTAGGGCATCTTACAATTGTGAAGCCTGGTTCTAGAGGATTTGTACTGGCATCTATCTGTCCCCTGGGGGCACTGCCAACCAGAATTTTTTGGTTCACAATGAATTCAAACCTCAAATCCATTTGAGCTTGTGGTTCGTGGTCTCAGGGGAGGTATTTCTTCTTCCCTCATCCAGTGTCAAGATTGAGACACGCAGGTTCCTTTACTGTCCCTTTCATGACAGGTTTATAGAAATACTGACCTTACCCTAAGAGAATAACCCAGCTCTACTAGAGCCCCCATTTTTGGTGCTATTTTTTTTTTCTCTCTCAGTAATACATAAAATAACACTGCATCTCTAGGTGGACTGCTGATAAGATTAGAGTCCACTGTACAGACTCATCAGGCAATCTCCAACCCAATAACATAGGACAAGCTTGCGAACAATGAAGATAAAGGCAACAGGTAAATGTAATAGCTGATATTTCCTAAATGAGGAAGTTAGAAGCAAGAATGTGTCAAGGGGAGGAATCGTACATAGGAAACTCAACTATTTCTACCCAGTAGTTGAAGGATAGCTCTGTGGATTCTAACAGAGACAAGATGAAATATCCCTTTGAAATATCCTACCTATGTAACTCCAACTTCACAGCCTAATCAGAGCAGAGGTGTTACTCAAACTTTTTTGGATTACAAACCCCTCTAGGAATCTGATGAAAGCTCTAGACAGCTCAATTTTATTTTTTCTAAAAAAACACATATAAGAAATTTTGCAATTTGAAATCACATGGCCTCTAGGTTCAATAGTGACTGCGTAAGGTGAAACTGATTGTTAAAATAAAGGCACCCAGCTATCCTCCCGAACCTCTGTGAAAGAGGAAGGATGCTGTGCAAAGTGCACTCTCCTGCCCATGACCTAGCAGATGCACAGTCAAAGGAAGACCCTTGTCAAGTTGGAACTAAGTTGCACCAGTTTGGCTCCTAGTGTCAAATACACAGGATTCCTTAGAACTTGGCAATTAAATGAAGTGCCTGTCATTTCCTATGACTGCTGACGAGTTGCCCTCACCTCCCAGCCCCGTACCTGGAGGAGCCTCTGCTGCTGTCGAACCTGCGGCTGCCTGGCTCTCATCGGGTCCTGGGGCAGGGGCACCGAGGGAAGGTTTGGGTGTGTGGAAGTCAACACCGCATCCATGCCTCCGCCCACCAGGGGGCTCTGCTGAAGGGACTGATGATTCAGTCTGGTAAAGAAGAACGCAACCTGATTTCAGGCCCAAGTGTGCTGTCAGATCTGTAATCGGCGCCACTAGCACACTGCACATCTGCACAGAGAAACGACTGTGTTCATAATTACTTACACAATTCAAGTGCACTAAAGGCCAGTGGTCCAGACAACCTAGATTCCCAGGGACAGATGGATCACTTGGAAAAGGACATCAAGCACACCTACCACTTAAGACAAAACCGCAACCATGCACAAATCACTTTTTAAAAACTTTTAATAGTTTTTAATAATAAGTGACATTAACTGAGCATTTTACTCTGTGGTAAAAGTCTGAAATGTGTTGTTTCATTTACTCCCCACAGCAGCACTTTGAGGTCAGCAGTTTCGTTCTCCCCAATTTAAAAATGAGAAAACAGGGCCGGCCCCGTGGCTTAGCGGTTAAGTATGCGCGCTCCGCTGCTGGCGGCCCGGGTTCAGATCCCGGGCGCGCACCGACGCACTGCTTCTCCGGCCATGCTGAGGCGGCGTCCCACATACGGCAGCAACTAGAAGGATGTGCAACTATGACATACAACTATCTACTGGGGCTTTGGGGAAAAAAAGGAGGAGGATTGGCAATGGATGTTAGCTCAGAGCTGGTCTTCCTCAGCAAAAAGAGGAGGATTAGCACGGATGTTAGCTCAGGGCTGATCTTCCTCACCAAAAAAAAAAAAAAAAAAAGAGAGAGAGAGAAAACAGCCAGAGAAATAACTTCCTAAAGTTATTCAGATAGCAAATGGCACAGGCGGGATTTAAATCCAGAATTTAGGGCTCTAAAGTTCTTAGGTAACATGCTGCTATGCTTCCACTTACTAGAAAACTAATAAAGATGATGCATGTTTTCCAAATTTATTTATTTTCCCAAATACCATCAACCTTGCCCACTTTCCAAACGTGATAACTTAGAGCTGACGTGGAGCCAGATGACGACACGTGGAGCTTGGCTGCTGTCTGCGAAAGTACATGATTGTGTATGAAACAATTCTTCTAGATCAGTGCCATCCAACAGGACTTTCTACAATGACCGAAATGTTCTACATCTGTGCTGTCCAATAAGATAGCCACTGGCCACTAGGACCAGCTACATAATTTTTGGGTCTCAGTGCAAAACAAAACGGCAGGCGTTCCTAATCAAAGATGAGTAAGAATTTCAAGAGGGTGACAGTAGGGCATTAAACCAAGCACAGAGCCCTTCTACACACAGCGGCCCATGTCCCTGCACAGGTGGCATACCTTTAATGCTGGCCCTGCTGGCTACACATGGCTACTGAACACTAGAAATGTGACAATTGTGACCAAGGAACTAAATTCTTAATTTAACTTGAATTAGCCTACATTTAAATATCCACATGTGGCTGGCGGCTACTATAATGGACAGTGCAGATATACACCATGTCTAATGGATCTGAGTAAAGCAAGAACTGAAAAAAAGACTTTCACGACCCTGTTTTGCCAACCATCCCTGAAGCGAAAAAGGTAGAAGCTAAGATTTAAGAAAACGCTTATGGGCACCATGCACAATAAGTATTGCAATCACAGACTTGATGGCTCTGATCAACATAATTCTAGTAAGGCATTGCTAACAATAATCAACATTTTTTATCTTAGATATTTTTAGCCAAAAAACTTTTTTAAAAGAGGGGGGAAAAAAGGACACTGGAGCTAACATAGTGGGTGTCATCTAAAAATATTACACCCATGCTATGGAAGATGGGAATCAAAGTACAGGGGCCTTGAATGAACTCAACAAGATGGAGCACTGCTTATCCTGAATCTCTATCAGGATGCGCCTACCAATGAGACAACAGAATGCAAATTACATGCAAATACGTAAGCTCATAAAGACAACATGTAGCACCACACCCTAGAAGAAGCATAAGAAAGGTAAGGGTTTGAGGGTCTACCACTGCCATCATTATCTCCACAAGCGTCACCTCTGAGAGCCGGCTAAGGGCTGCAGGTACGGCGACGCCTGCTGCTGGACATAGCCACTGGGCTGCTGCTGCATCTGTCGGAGTCTTTCCATGAGCGCCGGGTTGGAATGTGCGGCTGGATAGGTTCTGGAGTTATAGGTGGGGGACAGGACCATACTGCCAGCCTGCTGCTGCGGGGTCTGCTGCAAAGGCATCTGTGTTCCGTACATCGTATAGCCCTGGGGCATGGTCTGCAGGCAGACACAAGGAACGAAGTCAACGTTTCCATTTACCACCAGCTTTCCCATTATTAACATACATGGGGCAAAGACAAACCCAGGAGCAGCCTCCTAAAATTCACTGTTTTCAAATGCTCTTATGACTCAAAATACGAGGAGGACTATTGTGGAGGCAGAGAGGCTAGCCAAAAAGCTACAGAATGAACTGGTTGTATATAATGATTCGCCAGAAAATGCAATTAAAAAAAAAAATGAATTCTCACTTGGTTAGGAGATTAGTTTTATGATCAGTTGCTTATTTTGAGGGAAGGAAGAGTATGTTTCCGTACAGAAATAATCAGGAGGGGCCAGCCCAGTGGCGCAACCGGGTTAAGCGTGCGTGCTCCGCTGCGGCAGCCCGGAGTTCGCAGGTTCGGATCCCGGGCGCGCACCAACGCATCGCTTGTTAAGCCATGCTGTGGCGGCATCCCATATAAAGTAGAGGAAGACGGGCACGGGTGTTAGCCTAGGGCCAGTCTTCCTCAGCAAAAAAAAAAAAAAGAGGATTGGCATCGGATGTTAGCTCAGGGCTGGTCTTCCTCACAAAAAAAAAAAAAAGAAATAATCAGGCAAGCATCAATACCTTTATTGCACAGATGACAGATGACATCAATGTTTAACAGATCCCAAGCATCATCAATGTCATTTCCAAAATGAGTCAGATCAGCTACCCATGCTCAACGTAAATTAAAACAATGGAGTACACTTTACTAACATATGACTACACCTCCTCGGAGCTGATGAATGTGCTATAGCAACTAACCAGTTACAAAAAAAGACCCAATTGATACCTTAACCAGAGAGCAAGGGTGTAATCGGTGACTATTCAATACCCTCTAGTCCTGGTGGGACCATAGCCCACTTCAGCACTCCACCAATACTCTGAACACTTAATTTTTCCATTCAATATTAATATATGAGTGCCTGTTTCTCTAAATCTTGATACCTAATGTAAATGAAAAACCTGAGGTTCTGCTGGATCACTACCTACAATTGATAGAACAGAATGCTGATTAAAGTAGAAGAGAACTGCTCTCCAAATCCCCAAAGCACCATATTTTAATGTAGCTGAACAGCTCTGACTTGGAAGACAGAGCAGTGCAAGGGAGCTCCCAGCAGGCAGCGTGAATGGATCCAGGCTGAAGGGCTCAGTGCCTGTGGAGGCCACCTCGGCTCTCCCTTCAGGGTAGACAAAGTAGGAGCTGCCAGACCCAACTAGTAATCTCACCAATACCCCCAGGCTCCTGATTGTGAGAGGGACAGAGTAAAAGTATATGGATGCAGAAATCGCAGAATTATTCGAAAAACAGCTCAAGATGTGCATTATATTAAGGCAAGTCTATCATTTGTCAAGCAGCTACTCTGTATCTGGTGCCAGGCTAGTTCCACAGGTTGTCTTAAATCCTCACAACGTTCATCTCTGTTTTACAGAGAAGGAAACCAAGGCTCAGAGTAACTTGCAGAGCGTCACACAGCTGGTAAGTGGCCAGGAATTGTGCCAAGGTCTGATTCCAAGGCCAATTATCTCCTTATTGTACCATGACTTCTCTCTGAAGCTATCTTTGAAGACGATAGATTCAATCATGAATTACATCATTGTACATTATAACATAAAATACTTACTCTGGGACTGTTATGCGTTTCAATATCTACTATCAGCATTAATAGAGAGGTTTGAATTTACTTATGTTTTTAATTCAAGAATTTCCTAAAATGTTTTACGCCCTTTAAATTAATCAATCCAGAGACTTATTCAGCAATCACTGGTAATGCTCATTTGAAATGTCAATTATAACCTAGAAGCAGAAGAAGTAACTAACTTCTAGACCCCACAAGGGAGTTGATATCCTATTTACTTGCTTTCTCACTTCAAATAAAGAGCATTAAAACCCCCAGCAGCATCTACAAAGCAAACGTGGTACCTGTGCTTGCTGCAGCCCTGGATACTGGGAGAGCTGAGGGGAGGGCCGCACTTGTGCAGCAAAGAGAGCAGCCTGGTCCCCCGGCTGGCCCTGGAAAACAAAGCCGAGATGCACTCTTGATCATTACAGCAAGGGCTTGATTTGGCTCCTGGCTAAAACCCCAATAACCCATGACACCAAGTCGCACTTATGTGAGTACAGAACTTGCAAACTTCCAACCTGCATTAAATACAATTTCTCATCAATTTCTTATGTGTGTAGAGATTGTTGAACTCATCATTTCTTCCTAAGACGACTATGGATGTCCCCATAAATACAAATACAAATAGACATAAATACAAGCCAAAATAACCAATGGTCTGCTCATCAGAGAGGCTCTGAGACAGCCTTCTTGTACACTCCAGGGCAGTGATTTCACACTGACAGGCTCATGCCTTTCACTCTAGAGGGGCATGAGCGTCTCAGTGTGAAATATGAAACCACCGAGTTGCACCATCCTCTGCCCATAAAAGAAGAGAACAGGTGGTACCTACAAATGGCATATACAAATTTCATGATTTTTTAATGAAGCTTCTTCATAGTGACCTAAAAACTGTCTATTTAGCCATATATTCAAGGGATGAATTGGGACCTTCTATGACTCTAACAATCAATTAGAATATAATTTTAAAAATTTATAAGTTAATAGCAAATATAATTCTAACCAACTACAATATAAAATACAACCAATTAACATCTGTTCACCACTCTTAATTTAATATATGTCCTCGCCTTCAGAAAATACACACAATCATAAGAGCAGCCGTCTCTGCTTCTTGTCTTGCCAGCAGAAGCTATTTCACGGAAGCACCACAGAGAGAGGCCTAGCTTCCGATCGTCCCTAGGGTTTTTTAGGACTTACTAATTATAAAGAATGGGGTTTATTCTAGGATATTTTACTATTGTTGTATACAAAAGATGTCCTCATTTTTAAAAAGTGCTAAATTACAGTCATAGAAAACCACTTTAATGTGCTTGGAAAGTAGTATAGATACTTCCAGCACAGAGAAAGGGACAAACATTTAGCTTAAGAGGAGAACACTAACAATTATGAAGCATCTCTTATATGCTAGGGAAGGGGATTCTTGTTCTTATCCCCATTTCTCACAAGAACTCCACAGGGAGGAGCATCATCCCCATCTTCTTCAGACAGGAAAGGCCAGGCTGAAAGAGCTTAAGGAGCCTAGCCGGCTCGCCCATCTGGACCTGGCTGAGCCAGCATCTGAACTCAGGTGAGTCTGACTCCAAAGCCCAGTGCTCGTTCCATTATGGCGAGGTGTCTCCATATGTGATATGAAGAATGAAAATATAGAAATCCTCATTTGGTGCTTATTCTTCAGGGACACAGCCTCTTAAACTCATCCCAATAAGACATCAAAAGGAGAATCTTTATTAAGACTTGTTAATGAATGAGATATTGAAACCAAATGTATACATCAGACAGTGAAGACCTTTCTCGGATCCCCATATAAAATCACTGAGGGCATATGAGAAACCTCAGCCTCTGCTAAGGTGATTATCCACCCACTCAAGGACCCAACACGAATTTCCCAGATATCTGTATATATAACAGCTTCAACAAGAATCTAACTTTCCAGAACAGGGTACCATGAAGACACACTCACCCTGATTAATCTAAGTGCGATTATATCTCTATTTGCTTGGGTCTAAGTAAAACAGCCCAAACTCCCTCTATGAGAAGCCATGTCACGGCAGCGTGGCAATCTGGAGCCTAAGTATCCAAACGGCTCCTGATCATCCAAACACTATGCCAAGGAGGCATTAAATCAACCAGATCTTTAAGTCCCACTCCTTGAATCAGTGCTCCCTGACAGGGTTGGAAGAGGTCTCTGAAACTTAGTGTGCTTCTTTGTGGGGACAAATATAGGTAAATCATTTTTACAGAAAGGGAAAAAAATGAATATTTATATGTGAGTTAGAATTTTGAGATCCATAAATATGCTACAATATCCCTGCCCTGTTTTGGCTTGGAGGGAAACAAGAAGTAATCTGTGTGTGACGGCTGCATGCAAATGCATAAAACAGATCTTTTCTAACTCTTTGCTCTTCCTTGGTTTATTGACGAACATCATGAAACAAAGTAGGACACACAAGTGGGGGAACCTAGAATACTAATGAGGTAAATGTCTCAGTTCCTGGGAAACACTCTTTTACTGAAAATAACAGTTGAGATCATGGAGACTTAAGAAATGAATTAAAACCTATTCTACATTTAAAAAACTAACAAAATTAACAACCAAGGAAAACACTAACGTTCAAAGAAGCAAGGAGAAAGAGATAAAACATTTCAAATCCACCTTTACCCTCTAAAATTCATGCGTTCTCAGTCAACCATTCTTTGTCTACAGGTAAACTATTTATCTGTGAATATGTGCTCCCCCACCACCAATTTTTCCCGACTTACTACTTAAGCACAGTAGCTAACAATTCAGATATGCAACACCTTCCTGAGAAAACACCTCACCGTGGCTACACTTGCCAAGTGCTCTCTCACAGCTTTATCATCATATGTGGTCCTGAATGAAAAATACCCATCTCTCCCACAAAACTGGAATGGCCTCCTACTTTTCTTTGTTTTCCCAGAATAATGCTAGAAACACATTATTTCAACTTGTAGAAATAGTTCAATTTGTTCAGTAAAGAATGAACGACTGGGGCCGGCCCCATGGCTTAGTGGTTAAGTGCACACGCTCCACTGCTGGTGGTTCCTGTTCGGATCCCGGGTGCGCACCGATGCACCGCTTGTCCGGGCATGCTGTGGTGGTATCCCATATAAAGTAGAGGAAGATGGGCATGGATGTTAGCCCAGGGCCAGTCTTCCTCAGCAAAAAGAGGAGGATAGGCATGGATGTTAGCTCAGGGCTGATCTTTCTCACAAAAAAAAAAAAAAAAAGAAAAAGAAAAGAAAAGAAAAAATGAATGAACGACTAAGAAAAGTTCTTTGGTAACTTGAAAGACTTTACAAATGCTGAACAAGGACCATAACGTGGAAATAAGCCAGGAAACTAAAGATTGGCATTTAGTAGAAGTCTTTTAATGGTGGTGGGGATGGTTTGGCTGCATTAAATCAAAAGGGTCTATATAATGTATCATCCTAAATGGGACAGGCCAGGACAACAGGGGCAAAGTGGGACCATGCCTGGCAAATCGGGACATATGGTCACCTTAAACATAATCCATTTATCTGTGATTTTTTGAAGACTTCCTACACTTCATTTATTTTAATCAGTTCCTAGCACAATGTCTGGCACACAGTCAGTGCTCAACAAACATCTGTGGAGAAAATCTAAGATTTAATTTAGTTTATCTGTTAATCAAGAGTTCCAGAGGTAAATTAGGATTTATATTTCAGCACAAATTAGTTTACCAACTGCTTTCCAATTGCCCCATATTTTTTAGCAACATCTTTTGTTTTGAAAACTCAATTTTAATTTAATTTTACATCCATCATTCTAATGATTTCTTCTTTCTGCTTGCATTAACATCTGGGGAGTAGCTCAATTTCCCCTCTTGCTTTATTCTGCTTAACGGAAACAATTAGAGGCAGCATTAGTTCACATTTTTATGGGTGCAAAAGACAGCTCAGGAGGCTGGTTTTTGATGGAATATTTGTGTCGAGCCAGGTGCCATCTGACTTTGAGCATATCACTGGGAGAGAAAATCAAGACATGTTCGTGACCCAGCTCCAGCTCCCATGGCTCAGGTACTTGACTTACATGTGCTAAGGGAACAAGCCACAGTCAGCCAGGATATTCTGATAATTACATAGAGCCATCTCTACATTGCTACCTGAGGTCATTTCTTACACATGGTCTCTCCAGTTCGTTTTTATGCACTTTGCTTTGGGCTTGCCTCTGTGTACAAAAAATAAATCCATTATATTTTCTAAAATGTCCACTTTCTAAAAACTTCTAAAAAAGCTGTGCTGTTCAATACTGACTCATCCTCTCGGCCTTTACAAGAACAATTCTCTCTCTTACTGCTTTATTTTTAATTAGACAAGTATCTGAACTCAAAGAGATATTGACTCCAAGGCCTTTTGCATAATTTGAAATTAATGCATCCAGTAAGTTAAAAATTTTCAATAAATCATCCTCAAACATAATTTTCATTCTTCTGGGTCTTGTTATCTTCATTAGCAATCACTCCCTCAGTCAACTGAGCAAATGTGAAGACTTCTTTCTAAAGGAGAACTGGATAGACCTCCAATTAGCAGACAGTAAGCATTACAATCAGTGGCACTTCAGGATCAGGAATTTTCTATCCACTCAATACACTAGTAATGATTTCTGAAAATCTCCATTTAGTAATTTTTCAATAGTGTGTAAGGGTCGCAAGCAGAAAGACAAGTTGTACCTGAAAAACCACAGTAACTGCTTCTGAAAACGCTGACTTAGGAATAATAATAAAAGTCACCCAATGAAAATCAGTAGGTAATGGTTCATGAGTCACCTAGCAAAAGGGTTTTATTTGTGACTACTAGTTTGGAAGGTGCTGAGTAATGGCGCCCTAAGCTAAAACAAACACATAACGTGAACCAGAAGTTATGGTCCTCACATCATAATGGTGTATTTTGATTGCAGACAATAGACACAGAGAAAATTTTATATAAGCGGTCCTGTTGACCCGTTATGCTTGATTCTTTTACAAAGCTTTCACATCAAATATAACTTGGTTGGGAATCAATTAACAGTAACATTAACTGCTGGAACAAACTGATTCATTCTAAAATAAACAAACCTCATACAATAATGAACCTTTACAATATGTTCTATTAACATGCCCATAAATGATGAATATAACGATTGGTTGAGTATATACATTCATTAAATTCCTAATATTGGAGAATATTAAAGGAAAATAAGAATGGTGAAAAGGGCAGCAAAGCTATATATACACATTTCCAGTAGTTTGAATGAATATAGAAATCATAGAACCTTTTGACTTTAAATAGTTGACAAAATATTTTGTCTATTTTTATTAAAAAAAAAAAAGTAAAATCAATGACTGATGCAAATTGTTTTCTATCC